TTAAAATTTTATTTAAAATAAAATAAATTTTTTTTGTTTAAATTAAAAAAAATTGTTAGTAAATAATAATAATAATAAAATGAAAATTGAATTCAATGCTATGGAAAGTTTCGAGGTGGCGAAGTATAAATTAGTAGTATAAAATTTAAAAATAAATAATTAAATATAGGAATAAGTAAAAGAAATTGAATGCGGAGCTAATTATTGGTAGGAAATGTGCATTATGAATTTCGCCACTTGCTGCCTTTATTTCTGTTTATCTAACTAGAACTAGAATCTTATGACCTCACATGTATGATAATCATTTAGTTTATGCACTTCATTTAGCGATGGTCCACCTGCACTTGGACCTTCAGGTCCGATGACATGAAGTTAGGTTTAAGTGCATCTCTTATCTTGTTTCTCTTTCTTTTGCTCAACTGTTCGAATTCATCCCTTGCAAATTTGTTTAAAATTTTAAAAATATTAGCGATGGTCCACCTAATTTCCTACTATTCCTCTGTTTTGATTTTGAAGTGTCTTTATTCCTAACTGGTAATTTCATTTTTCTTTTACATAGGCTGTATGTGCATATTTATAATTATTTATCATTTATTAATTATCAATTATCAATTGAGATTTTTTTTTTATTTTGATTGTATAATAAAAGACAATTTTCTTTTATCTTTTACCTCACATTATCTATATGCTATACTATTTAAATTTAGAATTTTTTTCCTTCAATAAAAAGAGATTATTATTAAAATATTTAAATTGTTGGTATTAATTGAGATTTAACAATTGAATAAAATAGGTAGTTAATTAGATTGAGGATGGAAGGAATTTACATCTTCTAAGATGGGGACAAAATATTATTTGCCATTTTGTTACAAAGAACTTTCCCTCTCTCATGGCTCACTCCTTGCAGTGTAGACTTGGGCTCTTCAAAATAGTCTTAATATTGATGTGCAGAATAGACATTCTAATCTTATCACTGAGACTGATTCTAAAATTGCTAAATTTCTTGTGGATAAGGGTGACAGTAGGCATCACTCACTTGGTGCTCTTATTTCTATTTGCAAGACCTTAATGTTCACCTTTATGGCGAAGCCAATTCTTGTGCTGTCTGTCTTGTTAAGACTATGTTTGGTACAGTTGATGAGAAGTCCTTTTGGACTCTAAAAATTTCAATTGTACTAAATATTATAATTTGTGAAAAATACTACAATTTCT